TCAGCAGGGCAATAAGTCGTGTATTATAGTCCAAATGGCTGCGCAATTCAATGTTTCTTATACCAATGCCACTATGGTAAGTATACTAAAATTGCAATATATATGTATATATCAAATAATTATCAAAATTTGATATAAATGTAAGTGAAATTAGTATTAAGATTACATTATTACCATGTGCAAGTATATGTAGTATCGATGTTATTTCTGTACTTTTTTTTCACAGTCATTCCACAAAGTAATGGATATACCCAGTAACAGTAATGTGACAGGAAATTGTGGTGAATCTGAGCAAAATGTGACATTATCATGGGGATCGCAGGATAATTCTACACTAACAGTTCAAAATAATTTCACATTACATTTTGTAAAGAACGAGACGAATAAACTATATTCTCTTCATCACTTAGAAATCTCTTTGGCAGCGGAAAAAACCCCGACTGATAAGTCAAGTACGAGTTCATCTAATGTAAATAAAGTTGCACTTTGATCTCTTTCACATTTTTTTCTAAGACAAACTTTTACGCCACTTCAGATAAAACAGTGACACTGATACATATGGCACCACAATTCAGCACTGGATTGAGCAACTCTTATAGATGCCTGAAGGAACAGTCGCTGAACTTAAATTTCAAAGGTGGAAACGATACTGTAGGAGAACTCAAAGTATCCAATTTGCAGTTCCAAGCTTTTAGAAATGATGACACCACTATTTTTGGCTTAGGTAGGTGTCATGAGTTTTTATCGTATCTATTTTCTGCTATACATTCTCATATTGGTATAGCTTACTAATTTGTAAATTTATATATATATATTTTTTTTTTAGCCAAGGACTGTTCGTTCGACACGCCCGACATCGTCCCTATAACAGTGGGTTGTGCATTGGCGGGTTTAGTGGTAGTCGTACTGATCGCATACCTTGTCGGCCGCAGACGAAGTCAGTCCCGCGGTTATCTTAGTATGTAAGCCGAGTTTCGTGAGGTTTCTCTTTTTTTTCTTTTTTTTTAATTGTTAAATTCATTTTTTTATGCAATTTTCCATTAATGGAATCAATTGTCTTATTGAAAATTTATGTAGTTGTACTTTTTGTGTTCTATAGCCACGAAGGCTTTGACACGATTAAGAAAAGAAAAAGTATAGTTTATATGTTTATAAAGTTATCTCGTCTATTTGCGGGAAAGGAAGGGCTATATTAAAAAAGGGGGAAAAAATGCGTTATCGATATGTATCGCAAAGCGGTTTGAATCGATATTCGAGAGTGAGTGATAATTCCGAAGCAATGTGCTCTGTTCCAAAAGGACGATATACTCTACGATAGGAATGAATTAATATAGATAAGTCGTATGAGATCTGCATTATATCTTGCGCTGCTATTACATTTTTTATTAGCAGAGAGAGAAAGCGACGATTGTTTGATTTTCCATAAACATTTTATAACATGGAATGAGAATAAGAAAGAAATTCGTTTTGATCGACACATATGACATTAAAACGTAGAAATTCGCGCTGGGTCAATAGCTTCACACAATATACATTATAACACGAAGCTTTCCTTACATATATATTTTTTTTCTTTTTTTTTTTTTTTTTAAGAATAATTATTTTCCTGACTCTTTAATTTTACTATAATGCGATATGCCTTTATACGTCGCACTTTATATATACATCGATATTTCTGTGTTTTCGTTACGTTCGTACTCGAATTCTTTTTATTAAATGTACTGCGAAATAATAGCTGTTGTTTATATAGCCCTAAGTATGCGTGCGTGAGCGTACCAGGAATAGTATGAAGGAGCACGCGCTTCCACTAAATCGATTGAATGTTAAAGTTTGTGCTTCACTTAATTTAAAATAAACACGCGAACAATGCAATCTTCTAGATATAAAAAATCATTAGCTAACGTTAAAAAAATAAAATGTAATCTCAAAATGATAGCTCAACTCCCTATATATATTTAGGCAAATTTTATAGAAACTTTGTTTCCTGGATAAATTATTCTATTTAATGTAAATGATAGTCTTAAAAGAAAATAAATATGTGCTATACTGCTTATATGATAGAGAAGCACTGATTTTAACGACAGATTTAATGGAAAGTACTGTATTTTTACAACCATTGTTGCTTTTGAAAAGTTTTATCTAAAAGATAATGTGAGGATATAAAGGGAGATCTCTAATGTTTGTACAAAAAGAAAAAAAACATGGAATTTTAGAGTTTAACAGGAATTCTGCGTGTGTATCGTGCTGCTTCATAACTACTCTATTGTGGCAAGACTGAATGTGAAAGCAAATAGTGAAGCAAAAGTGGAAAGAGGGCAAAAAGAGTTAAATAAAACGTATAAACATAATTGAATAAAGCACTGTACATATAAAACAAAGTAGTAATACTACTTTTGGATTATATAAGTACATTTATTGCGACTAGGCAAAATCGACATTCTAAACAATAAAAAATGGAATATTTCCAAAATATCTCTTCCGCCTTCTTCTAATACTACATTCTCTGTGCATCCTCGAAATTCTTTAATCTTTTCTGTATTTTTCTTTTATCGAAATCACATCCGAGTGAATGATGATTGGCAATTTTGAAACAATTTAAGTAATATATATAGTTACTCGATTCACAATTTATGCATTAAATAGAACGTTTTGATACATGTTATCTCATGCCGCCTGTATATATACATGACTAATGACGGGAGTAATCGTACAGTATTTTCTGGTAGAGAATTCCTCAAATGAGTCAGAATATCAGGGTAATGGTTTTTTATTGACGCTTTGATTCATATATAATGAGGCACTTGTTCGAAAATCTATTCATTGAAATAAAATAGCGTTTGATTGATGAAAATTTTTTTTTATTTTTTCTTGATTGGTCAATCAAACACTATTCTATTAAATGAATAAATTTTCGAATCAAATATACGTATCAATGTATGTGTGCACATACATACACATGTGTACACTTGCTTGTCCCCTATTAATGGCGGCCGCCAACCTAACTTTTGAGAAATGTAGATGCAAAATGTAAACAATACGAAATGTAAATCGTATTAGCGAGCGCAACAACGGGTAATTGAGATGTACACGTTGCTGCACGGTTTGTACAAGTATCTGGTGCAAAAGGACGAGTATTTCATATTAATTTTGGGCCTTGATAATGCAGGAAAAACGGTATTTATTCTAGAATATTGCGATTTTAGAGGTTATGACACGAGGAACTCTATACGTTTCTTTTAGACTTATCTGGAAGCGGCGAAAACGAAATTCACGAAGAATTATAAGGGAATGAATCCGAGCAAGATCACGACCACCGTAGGCTTGAATATTGGTAAGATCGACATCGCCGGCGTTTCCTTCAACTTCTGGGATCTCGGTGGCCAAGAGGAGCTACAATCTTTATGGGATAAAGTAATTAATAATGAAATTAATACATTGTATATTGTGTATTTTCATTCCTGTCTTTTCTCTCTGTGCATTATTATGTCCATATCTTATTTTTATTTATGATATTGTATGAATAATACTTTACATCATATTGATAGCATTTTAAGAGTATATTTTTTTCCATTTTCAGTATTACGCAGAATCTCATGCTGTGATTTATATTGTCGACTCGTCCGACCGTGACAGAATACCAGATTCCAAAGAAGCTTTTGGTAAAGTATATTTTCTAATAATGTTTGAGAAATTAGACAAATTATGAGAGATTGTGTGTAAAATAATAGTGTAAAACATATCTTTTAATACTTAAAAATGTATTTTTTAATAAAATTTTAAATATTTTAATGCAATTAAAAATTTCTTTTTTTTTTTTTTTGCATACTTTAATGAGACATATAATAGACAATAAATAGTGATAGAATACATGCAATATAAATTAAACTTAATTTTAGATAAAGTGATATCGTCCGAGCATCTAACAGGGGTACCGTTACTGGTGCTAGCAAATAAACAGGATGTACCTGATTGTATGGGTGTCAGAGAAGTAAAACCAATATTCAATCAAAGCGCGCATTTAATTGGTCGGAGAGATTGCATGGTAATGCCTGTATCGGCACTTAATGGGTGAGTAAAATTAGCCTTTTATCTTGTTGATTTGCATAGTATATAGAATTTTGAGAAATAAAATAGCATCTTTTTATGCTACATAAGATTTCACGAATCATGTTTTCTGCATTTATTATATGAGATAATGGCTCTTATTTCAAAAAAGGGATGGTGTAGACGAAGGTATACACTGGCTGGTGGATTGTGTCAAGAGAAACAGTGATGTACGACCGCCTCGCAATCAAGATGACAATTCTTTATCATAGTTGTGTATGTGTGTGTAATACATTCCTGTTTTATAATTTATATATAATACTATTGATGCACTGTATATATTCATGCCATGTGTGTACAGTGTTTCTACAAGTAAAGAATTTCTTTTAACATGTATTCTTTCATCGGCCTCTATTTAAACAAATATAATTATGTTATGTTTGCATATGAGATATTGCATGTATATGTAAAATTATTTATAATTTTTTACAATATTATTGTTTAAAATACTATTGCAAGATGATTAAAGAAAAAACTACCAGATCTTAAATTGCCAGTATTGTGAATGAGAATGATATAAGATGAATGATAATGTGCGTGATATCGAGGTAGTCAGAGAGATAAGAGATCAGATAATGCCCGCACCTTGTCCCGTTGCTCTATTATGTTAGTGATAAAGAGCGTACAAAATTGATCGTACAGCTGTAAGCTGTTTGATATATAGATTGTGATTTTTGTGCTACATACATTCTTTGGATTGGATCTCTTTATTTGTTTAACATTATCATACACCATGTGGCCTTACTACGAAGCCGAGGATTGGAGCGTCTTGCCGCCGGAACTCAACAGAAGGTGATTTATTCGATTTATAATGTAGCAGATGGAAGGCTTTTATTACTTTCAAGTGTATATGATACAAGCTACTAGCCTTTAATTCTTCTCTTCTTGAAGATTAACATTGTCCGGAGCAATATTTGAGGAGACAGAAGGAAAAATCAAACTAGTCAACTCGTTTTTGCAATACATATATTCATATATCACATTGAAGTACTAAATATGGCTGTTGAAAATTTAGTTTTCATATGAAGACTGCATATCACATTTCATTCTTCATGTGATATATGAAAATAGATACATAAATTCTAATATAAGTATTTTTCATGCTTTATCAAGAGCAATACCTAGCATTATTCTAATCACATATCCCCTATACATGCTTTGTATGTACCTGAAAAAAAAAAAACAATGTTAGTATATTATCAGTATGTATATATGTATATATATATCGTGCAGTGAAACTTGTTAAAAAAGACTTTACGGTTTACAATATGTTGAATATAACAAAACTCCGCTATCTTATCACGAAGCAGAGAAAAAAAATTGTTTCTACTTTTCCCGAACCCATAGTTAAAATAGGTATAATTCTGGCGAGTTGAGATTTTTGTATGGAAGATGTGTCGTATAATCGTATAGTAGTAGCAAAGACGCGATTATCGACGTTATCATTTTCTTTTTTCGTAAATCTTAGATTACATTGAATTCACCGCTTTCGCGGAATCCGAATTTCGCGCCTGTGTGCGCGCAATGGTGCCACACACATGTACCCGCGACGTTATTTCCTATACACGCAAGTGGAGTTTGCGTAACGCACGGCGCTTCCCGCGTGTTTTCCTCCTCGACGGCTGTCGTCATCCTCGCGCGAGTCGAGTGCAGAAGCACACGAGGTTATAATTCAACGAGAGACGTACTCCTCCCCTCGCATCGCGCTTCCCCATGGAAAGTCCCTGACGACGTCAATGACAACGTCGACGACAGGTGATCGGCCATCTTTAAGTCCTCCCGTCCTCACGCACGGACACGCGAAATTCCGTGCGACCTGTCGTCGACGAGACAGACAGGGTGGAGAAAGAGAGAGGCGATAGAGTGAAAGGGTGCGAGGTAGAAAGAGCGATAAAGGGGAAGAAACATCGGGTGTGCACGTCTTTCGCGCGGGCGGACCGCTAGTGTGCAGTGTTGTGTGTGTGTGTATGTGTGATCCGTGTGGTCGACGACCGTGATAGATAGGGATTTCGGAGCTATGTTCTTGGAGCTCTGCTGACTAGAGACTAGACTCCGTCTTTACGGGACTCGACGGCGCCGCACGGTACGTATCCACGTTGTCGTCGTCGCGCTCCCCGAATCGAAAGATCTTCTGACTCTCGGGGTAGAGGGGGTTGGGACACCGGTGGCGTTTCGAATACCTCGAGTACGTATGTACATACATACATACTCGCGAAGGCAGGAGCGTGAGGGCGCACAGCTCGCGTCTTCCGAGATTTCTACGGTGGATTCATCCGGCGACGACTTCGCCTCGGATCGGATTCGATTCTTGAAGTTATAGTCCCGTCCGTGATGTAAACACAGAGCGGGACCACCTGGGGCTTAATCGCGACATTGCCACGGCCGATCCTGTGGCGGGCGAGTACTCGGGTCCGCTTCTGTCATCGCGTATGTATTCCCGCGCGCGATAACACGTCACGCAGGAAGTTGCTGGCCTCTCCTCTTCAGGAGATGATCCGGACCGTTCGCGTCGATCGCAACGATGCATGACAGCTGCAGGCTAACCCTCGACTTACAGTCGCGATTCCTTATGCAAGTCCCCCCTCGTGTTTTTGCACGATATATGCTGTCGTGGCCGAGTTGAGCGCCACGGGATTCTGGCACGTGAAATCGCAGTGACATCATTCGTCATAGTTGATTGGTATTGCTATTGTGCCCCTTTTTTCATCGCGATCGACAATGCATTCCGAGCCCGGTACGTCCCTCACGCTCCTACCGCGAGACACATCGCGAGACAATATGTAACAACATATCCTTATGTCCACTGTCCTATTTCGGAAAGCGCTTTGAAACTTTTTCTCTCTTGCATTCCGTCTTCTGTGTCAAGTTGTGTTTAATGAAGTGTACAGTCACTATATGTAGCTAATGGTCTCTTGGATAAGCTTCTAATTAAGGTAATCTCAAGGTGCTTGTGCCGCTTTTCTCTCTCAAAGTTGCGACAGATTAGAGATTAGATTTTCAGGAGTGGTCAATAATCGTATATATATTTAGATTACTTTTAATAGAGAATGTTAGATTTTATGTAACAATTTTTCATATTTCTCTTCTATGCGAAAAACTCAGTAACAAAATACAATTATAATCATATGCTTACATGTTAATTTTGACAATGTATATAATAATCATTTTGCAATGAAGAGAAGTCTTTTAAATGTGGCCATAACATTGCTATACATATAACATTATTCTATAAGTAAAATGTGTAACAATTGAAAACTGCAAAGTCACTTTGTGGACTAGGACAGAGCATTAGACGCACACTTTTATGGAAAATTTATATATATAAAATCTAAGCTACAATTTTGTCGCATTATTGGCACAGAAGACTGAATTATTTTCCTCTTGATATTTTTAATTGTTTTGGTAAGAGTCTTCATTAATGTAATTTATTGATATAATATATTAACATTTTTTATAATATTGTCATTGTCCTGTGTCCACTAGGAGGATAGCAGAGTTCGTGTTTTGTACTCGTCTGCACTTGGTTTTTTTTTGTGAAGCTTGTGGCATAGATTCAAAACAAGTTGAGAAACAATGAATGCCTCAGAACATGGGTAATACATAACTATACAATCTCACACATGTATTTAGATTAATCTTGAATTGTGATAATAGCGACAGAAATGATAGTGAGAGAAATTCAATTATAGTATTTTTGTCTGTTATATCATTATATTTTATATTTTGCAAGAATATGAAATATCAGAATGGCTGCAATAAAATTAGGTCGTTAAATAAACAAGTGTCATTGCATGATAAATAGATCTAACAAGTAGGATATTGATACTAAAACAGCATGGGTGTGTATTTTTTCAGGTTTAACCCAGCCTTTAATATGGCCTCCATAAAGCAAGCTTTCAATGAGGCTGTGGAAAGAGGTAGGTGTATTGTTAATATAATTGACTTACAATGACTTTAATGGCTAATCATTGGAACATCTGATTCCACCTGTTTGCTATTTGCTTCTCCGTATTCTTCCATATTTTAAAAGTTAATCAGATTAAATTGCTTTAAAAATTGTGAGTTTTTATATTGTAACATATTTAAGTAATAAGATTCTCAATAATAGAAAAATGCTTTGTCCAAATTCTTCTCAGGAATTTTTCATTGTTGCACTTTTATTTCACTTGATTTACAAAGTTATTTGCAAGCGGAATCAGCGGTTGCCAAAGATAGTGATAATTTGTACTGATGACTTTTTCACGCTTTAAAAGTCTCAACAGTTAGAATGCCTGCGCCGACACGGTTGAGGGATCTGATTAGACAAATTCGAGCCGCACGAACGGCAGCGGAAGAGAGGACAGTTGTGAACAAGGAGTGTGCGTATATACGTTCGACGTTTAGAGAAGAGGACAGTGTCTGGAGATGTCGTAACATCGCCAAGTTGCTGTACATACATATGCTGGGGTTTGTATCAAGATATGAATTATAATGTCCAATATCGCCAATTGTGATATTGTCACAAGAATATTATTTTTTAAATACCCATTTTAGATACCCGGCACATTTCGGTCAATTGGAATGTTTAAAGCTCATCGCTTCCCCGAGATTTACAGATAAACGAATCGGTTATCTCGGAGCCATGCTGTTGTTGGACGAACGGCAGGACGTACATCTCTTGATCACAAATTGTCTAAAAAAGTAATTCCGGATTTTTATCGGATGTTAACATGTCCAGTATATATTTTTGAAAAAAGGTTAATAAACTTTGTTTTCCTTGTCTGTTGACAGTGATTTGAACAGTTCTACGCAGTTCGTTATCGGTCTGGCGTTGTGCACCCTCGGTGCGATTGCGTCGCCAGAAATGGCAAGAGATCTGGCATCCGAGGTCGAAAGACTGATGAAATCACCGAACGCGTACATCCGAAAGAAAGCGGCGCTTTGCGCCTTTCGGATCATTAGACGTGTGCCGGAGCTAATGGAAATGTTCTTGCCGGCCACTCGCAGCTTGATCACTGAGAAGAATCACGGAGTGCTTATTACAGGTGTCACTCTTATTACGGAAATGTGCGAAAACAGCATCGATACGCTGAATCATTTTAAGAAGGTATATTTTAAAAAATTATACTCGCTTTCAACGCACAACATCTATTAGTCTTAGAACAGGTTTTAGTAGACAAGCAGTTCGATGTCGTAAATATGATCTCGCTCGACGAGTCATAGTTTTATTGCATCATTTAATTGATCAGTTATCATACGACCGTATAATTTGATCTATCTAGTGTGGCCGATATCAAAGATTGGTAGTAGTAGAGAAATCTGCTGGAGGGGTATCTAGTGTGCGTATCTAGTAGTGGAATTATTTATTAGATAATTTAGGAAGTGAAATATCGTTTGTTAGATAATTACGGTCTGTTGGGGTGATAGTGATGGAAAAGAATGCAGTCTTAACTTTTATAGGAATATAGATAGTTGCGAAATAGTTGTTCAGAAGAATATTTTATTAGTGCTAGAGAGAAAAAGAGAGAATCATAAATATTAGAGTACCACAAATTATATTCTCTTGGCGAATTTATAAGCAGTAGAAGGAAAAAGAAATCGTTATCACTTTATGTTAATATAACATCAAAACTTTGAACACATTCTGTTTTATTTTGCTTTCGTGATACATGCTCCTTATGCTCTAAATAGATTATATTGCAACTTTATTTATATATGCACAAAGATCTCCGCGAGTTTTTTCTTCTATTCTTTTTTTTTTCGGGAAAAAAGTCATTTTATTATAGGACAATTATACAGTATATTCCTTATGAAAGTTAATGCAAAATTTGATTCTTTTAAATTTTGAGTATACGTAATATAAGCATTGATTTTGTCTTTCTTAGGAATGCGGCCACCGTGAGGTAATATGCATATAAAAGTTCTCTGTATTTTTGCATGTATGCTTATTACTCAGACTTCATTCTTTTCTTTTACTTTATTTAAATGTTGTAAATGTGAACTACCAAAAATCATGAAGTCTTGTTTCTGCTTTTTTTTTGCTATATTATTTTTTAAATTATTAAATATATAGTAAATTACATTATTACATTTTTATATATATGTATATTCTATTCATATATAGGAATATTATATAAAATCTTTTATATTATTATTCTATGTGTATGAATTTTTTATTTGGAAAAGTAGTTATATGTTCAGAGATGTTATAATTGTAATACCTATAATTGGCATGATGGTATTTTGTATAGTTGCATGTTTATCTTAGCTTGTTTATGAATCGAGCTCTTTATCTCTTTTATTGTATATTTAACTAAACAACTTGTAACAATATGATATAGATATTTAATGAATTTAATATATATATATATA